TCATGTCTCTATTAAAAATTAATAGAGTCGAGATATATCATATTTTTATTAAAAATAAAATTAAAATTAAAATTAAATAATAAAAATATATTGATATGATTGGTATTGTAATTGATTATTGAGTTTGATAAAAGTATAATTTTTTTACTTTTATACACTTTTAACAGAATGTGACAACAATTTTCAATATGTTAAGGTATAAAACATTCATTTGAACATTTAAACTTATTAATCATAATAAATAATATTGTTAGTTATAGTTTGTATGTCTTGTCTGATTAGTTTCGTCTTACAAATGTTATTTTGTCTTACCTAGTCTAAAACAATGACTTTTAGAACATGTTTTCTTACTAAAAAAATATAGTGTTTGTTATCTTTAAAACTTATAAAATATGAGGGATATAAAATCATCTTTTGACTTAATATTGTTACACTTTACAATTCAACAAATGTAGTAGTAAAACATAAATTTGGTTACCTAAGACTAACATGCAAACAATGCCTAAATATATGTGGAATAATATCTATATGCATAAAATTTCATCAACATCTAAAATACTCCCTCCGTTTTTTTTTCATAGTCGTTTAAGGTTTTGCACGGGAATTAAGGAAATCATTGATATTTTAGTTTTCAAAAATATTTATTACTTACTTTCCTATTTTACCCTTTTTTTTTGCATTTTTTAGACTGTTGAACTACTCCATTAAATAGTTGTCCCTTTTTTTGTTTTTTTATAGTATTTTGTTGGGAACATATTGCTCTTATAAATGCACATTAACTTTATATGAGTAGTTAGAGAAAAATTAGGTAGACATTAAAAATAAATACACACATTGTTCAAGAAACATGTATTAATTATCAAGGGTAAAAATGGAAGAAAAAAATTAATAACTCATTGATTTTAGTAATATGACAATGAAAAAAAAACAACAAACTCTGACAAAACGACTATGAAAAAAAAACGGAGGGAGTAATAGGTAAATCCCTCACAGGGATTACAACTATAATTATACAGTTATATAATTACAATAAACCAGTTGTCAATCAAGTAACAATATAAGAGACTAGCTACACCCAAGTAGCTATAACAACTTCGTCATCCTCCAACATGGCTTTCAACATATACTCTTCCTCCAACCTATCATTACTCTACTCCTATATCAAGTATGATCATCAAAATCCAACCACAAAAGAACATACAAGGGTAAGATTACAAAAAATATCATAACAAGTGCAAAAGTTAAATATACTACACTATCAACATCAAATCATCAACTTACAATACAACATACCACAACTCAGTATATCAATTTCATCTGTGAAATTTACAACTATTCAACACAACTGTTAGAAAAGATGGATTATCCATGAATGGGACAAATTGGATACTAAATTTTTTTTCTTCTAAATCTTCTTGATTTAAAAACTTTTCTAAGACTTTCCAATGGAGCATATTGATATATAGCTATTTATAGGTTTTGGTATTGAGATATCTTGTGCATTCAATGTCAGATTTTGGATTTGAGAATCAACATGTAAGTATTTATAATTATTGGGTCAAGTCTAATATGTAAGTGTATTAAGTTTTTTATATGAGTCTAATTTATTTAATATCTGTGATAAATGGATATTAAGTTAGAGTTTCAAAAATTGAAAGGAAAGAATTCCATTAGACTTCTTTCATTAGACTCTTATAAGTTCTATGATTGTCATTAATATTTTGCTCCATCTAAAAAGTAGTAATGTCATAAAAGAATTTTGATGAAAGAGTTATTCTTAACGTACATAGCTAAATATATAACTATTATTGTGATAACAAATTTACCAAAAAAAATATAAAAAATAAGTGATTTATGATAATCAATAAACTTTAATTTAATATTTTAAATTTTAGTATTGATCTACGTATATAATTCTATCATAATTTTCCCAATGTCACAGTAAAACAAGTTATGTGCAGATTTATCCATATAAGTCGAGAACTTACTTATCAATTACTACACTGCGGGCTTTGAATAATTTATTTTTCAAAAAAATAAATAAATAAATACTCACAGAAAAAGAAAATAAGAAAAAAAAGTGAAATATATTTCTTTAAAAGTTAAAATCGATTTAAATGAAAATTAATTTATAAAATTTTTCTCATGTCTTCTATAAAATTTGTTCTAATTTATTTCTAAGTTAATTTTAGTTAAAAAAATCATTTTATGTACTTTATTTTTATTTTTGAAATATTTAAAGACAAGCTTATTTAAAGATGTCCAAAATAATTACTTCTTCTGTTAACTACTATAAATTGCATACTATAGAAAGATGTTCTAAGTAATTAAACCTTTGAATATGACGTAAGAAATGACATCAATTTAAAGTCATGAATCATTCAAAGCAATGAAGCTGAATTGACTACTATATGCATTACATATAAATTTATTACTTCTTTACTTTCATGCAAATTTAGTATATATATAAACAATTTTGGGGTGACGTAAGCAGTGACCACAACTTAAATGACCAAATCAATGGCACCCTTAAGGTTCTTGCATATAAATTTACATATCCGAGGTAATATCTTTTTAACCCTATCTAACTATTCCATAGCCTTGCTTCAATTAGTAGTTTTTTTTTCTTTCACGTGATTAGTTGAGAATGGCAGAAGAGGTGGTTTTGTTGGATATACATGCTAGTATGTTTGGTATGAGAGTTAGGATTGCATTGGCAGAAAAAGGTGTTAAGTATGTGTATAAGGAAGAAAGCATAGGGAACAAGAGTCCTTTGCTTCTTAAGAACAACCCCATTCACAAGCAAACTCTAGTTCTAATTCACAATGGAAAACCCATTTGTGAGTCTCTCAATATTGTTGAGTATATTGATGAGTTTTGGAAGGACAAAGCTCCATTATTGCCCTCTCATCCTTATCATAGAGCTCAAGCTAGGTTCTGGGCTGATTTTATTGATAAAAAGGTCGCTTTTTTTTTATAAAAAAAGTTAATCTGTACTACTAAATTTAACTTTTCCCTTTTTTCAAAACCTCTTGAATTGTTCCCCCAAAATAAGTATTTATCTAATGATGAAATTGTCTTAAATGAGTTATTTACATTAACTAATGTCTATGGAAAGTATTTATGACGCAGGTGCAAGAAGCTGGGAGTGAGTTATGGGCCTCAAAGGTAGATCAACAGGAGAAGGCCCGGAAGGAATTGAAGGAAAGGTTGAAGCAACTAGAAGAGGTTCTTGGAGACAAGCCATATTTTGGGGGTGACTCATTTGGGTTTCTTAATGTTGCTTTAATCCCTTTCCATCAATGCTTTTATGCTTATGAGACAGTGGGTAGATTCAAATTGGACTGTCCCAAACTCATAGCATGGGCCAAGAGATGTTTGCAGAGGGAAAGTGTATCCACATCCCTTGCTAGTGAAAAGGACATCTATGAGTTTATTTTGGACTATAGGAAAACTCATGGGTTGGACTAGGAGACATCATGGGATACAAACTTGAGCATGAATTATACGTAGTAAGAACTAAGGAATATGTGGAATCTATTAAAGATCAACTAATTGATAAGAAATTTTATCTTTAAATTTTATTATTGTTATTTTACAAGAGAATGTGTTTGTACCAAATAAATTAGGAATATATGTGTTTGCACTTTTATTTTTTATTTTTATTGTGAGACAAGGTCAATGTTAGTCAAATATGGAATTTCAAAGTTGGTATGTCATATGTAACGACCCGCCATAGTCTTTACACTTTGTGGAATCGCACTACTACTAGCAAACTAAGAGAAATATTAAGCTGGATAACTCATACATACAGGTATAGGTAAGAATAAAAATAACTAAGTTTCTGTATACAAAATAGAACACCATTGTACTATTCGTACCGCGAAGCCGAGCTCGAAGCTCGGCATCACAGCGTAGATCGGCATCGGACGCGCGCTATACAACATCGGCCAAGACAAAGCCCACTATCTGAACCAGTCACAACTGACCTCAAGCCCAAGGCCCAGATAAACCCTAATTCACACTAAGGTACGTGCATTACTTATGCGAGACCCATACATCCACAAACACTAACTTTAGCATCAGAGTCTCTTTTGCAGGTACCACCCCACTTTGGAACAGCAAGCGTACCCAGCGAAGGAGGCTCACCAATCTTGCCCAGCAGATCGTCCCTACGACTGATCTCCGGTAAGAACATTTGGCTCCCACCGTGGGGCCGATCAAGACATCTCTTATCGGCCACACTTATGGTTTTCACCCGAAGCCATAGTAGACGAGCAGCAGACGACCTAGATCGCGCAACAAGAATGGAAGGTGAAGCAACATCAAGGAGACTGGTCGAGCAGGTCGAGCAAATACGGCAACAACATGCCGTCGACCTGTAGAACATCCGTGCTAGGCATGAAACTGACCTAGCGGCGTTGCGTGCCAAGAACGAGCGCATTCGCGCCCAGCTTCCTCGGCGCCCTTCTGATCAACCCTGTCAACCGAGTAATCAAAACGAGGAAGAGGGGTACTCGATTTCCCAGCCACCAACTGCACCCAGGGCACCGACCCATAGGTCTACTATACATCGGTCACACGTGCCGACAAACAAGTCAGACCATGAAGTCAGCATTGCGCCCGCCCAAGTCCCAGGGCATAGGACGAGCATCCACCGCCACCCTTTCGTTGACGGCGTCATGGAGACGCCCTTGCCTTTTAGATGGAAGCCTCTCAACATCCACCGTTACGATGGCACTCGCCTGGTATACTCAATTGTCGGCGGGGTCAATTGACAACTTCAACACTCTGGTGAGGCGATTCACGGCACAGTACGCAACGAGTCGGCTTCACCACATCACGTCAGCCGCCTTGGCCAGCCTCAAACAGGGCGACGAAAAACCGTTGAGGGCGTTCATGGAGCGTTTTGCTAAAACCTTGGTCGAGATCTGCAACCTAAATCTCGAGGTCGCCCTTCACGCCATGCTCATGGAGCTTAAGCCAGGACCTTTCGTTGATAGCCTGTGTCGACGACCTCCCCAAGACATGGATGAACTCTGTGCCTGAGCTACAGGCTACATTCAGATGGAAGAGCACACTACCTTTCGCGACCAAGTTCGTGGAAAATCACAGGCGAAGCCGGACCACAGCCACAAAGATAAGATGAAAGTCACCAACAATAGCCAGTTCAAGAAGGCAGCTAGGGCAAACAAAGGAGGGAGGTATGACTTCTACACCCCCCTGAATGCGCCTCGAGTACACATCCTAGAAGAGGCCAGAAACAACAATCTACTCACTCTGCCACCACCTAGACACAGTCCCAACAGTGCGGACAAATCCAAGTATTGACAGTACCATAGAAACTATGGCCACAGGATCGAGGAGTGCTGCACACTCAGAAATCGTATAGAGGAACTCGTCTAGGGGGGGCACCTCGGACAATACGTCCAACGGCAGCAAGGTCACAGAGGAGGCTACCACGAACGAGGATGAGGACGAGGCCGAGGTTCCGGGACTCGCACAGACCAACCCTCTGGTTCTCAGCAAAACACTGGCGGTGCGGTGCAGGTCGAGGTAAGTCAAGATACAAGGTTAGCTCCCTTGCGAGGAGTTATCAATACAATTGCAGGTGGCTTTGTAGGGGGAGGCTCTAGTAGCTCGGTGCGTAAACGACATTTGCGCAGCATCAACAACGTCCATTCTGCCACCTCGGCCCCGCACCACAACACATCACCAATCACCTTCACCAACAATGACTACACTGGCATCTGTCCAAACCAGGATGATCCCATGGTCATCGCTGTAGAAGTTGCCAACTGGGAAGTCCACAAGATGCTGATCGACCAAGGAAGCTCGGCTGACATCCTATATTGGTCGACGTTCCTAAGGTTAGACATCCCCCACTCCCTTATCCAATCTCACATAGAACCCCTAGTCGGTTTTGTAGGTGAACAAGTTCACACTCGAGGGTACGTGGATCTGTTGACAACCTTCGGGACCCCTCCTGACTCAAGGAGGATCATGGTCAGATACCTCCTCGTGGAGGCCAACACATCCTACAACATCATCATCGGCAGACCTACACTGAACCAGCTCGGAGCCGTGGTGTCCACTCCACACCTGACGATGAAGTTCCCAGGGAGCAATGGCAAGATCATCTTCGTCAGAGCAAATCAGAAGATAGCTCGGCAATGTTATGCTAAAGCTTGAAGGTCTCGCCATCCGAGGAGCGCCACAAAGGTGACCCTCCTACAGTATCTCACATAGCCCAGGTCGACATCACGGACCTGGACCCTAGGTCAGAATCCCAAGACGAACGACCAAGCCCCATCGACGAGCTTGATGACCTTCAAGTCAGTAAACTCCCTAGACAATGTACAAAGATAAGTCGACAACTAAACCCAGAGTTACGACAATGGCTCGTTGAGGAGATCTCTAAAAACATCGACCTCTTCGCATGGTCAAGCGCATACATGCCAGGTATTGATCCTAATCTCATCTTTCACAAGTTAGCCATCCACAAGGAAGCTAAGCCGGTCTCCCAGAGAAAAAGGAAAGTCGGCGGAGAACAACGCGATGCCATCGTCGAGCAGGTCGAGCAAATACGGCAACAACATGCCGTCGACCTGTAGAACATCCGTGCTAGGCATGAAACTGACCTAGCGGCGTTGCGTGCCAAGAACGAGCGCATTCGCGCCCAGCTTCCTCGGCGCCCTTCTGATCAACCCTGTCAACCGAGTAATCAAAACGAGGAAGAGGGGTACTCGATTTCCCAGCCACCAACTGCACCCAGGGCACCGACCCATAGGTCTACTATACATCGGTCACACGTGCCGACAAACAAGTCAGACCATGAAGTCAGCATTGCGCCCGCCCAAGTCCCAGGGCATAGGACGAGCATCCACCGCCACCCTTTCGTTGACGGCGTCATGGAGACGCCCTTGCCTTTTAGATGGAAGCCTCTCAACATCCACCGTTACGATGGCACTCGCCTGGTATACTCAATTGTCGGCGGGGTCAATTGACAACTTCAACACTCTGGTGAGGCGATTCACGGCACAGTACGCAACGAGTCGGCTTCACCACATCACCGAAGGAGGCTCACCAATCTTGCCCAGCAGATCGTCCCTACGACTGATCTCCGGTAAGAACATTTGGCTCCCACCGTGGGGCCGATCAAGACATCTCTTATCGGCCACACTTATGGTTTTCACCCGAAGCCATAGTAGACGAGCAGCAGACGACCTAGATCGCGCAACAAGAATGGAAGGTGAAGCAACATCAAGGAGACTGGTCGAGCAGGTCGAGCAAATACGGCAACAACATGCCGTCGACCTGTAGAACATCCGTGCTAGGCATGAAACTGACCTAGCGGCGTTGCGTGCCAAGAACGAGCGCATTCGCGCCCAGCTTCCTCGGCGCCCTTCTGATCAACCCTGTCAACCGAGTAATCAAAACGAGGAAGAGGGGTACTCGATTTCCCAGCCACCAACTGCACCCAGGGCACCGACCCATAGGTCTACTATACATCGGTCACACGTGCCGACAAACAAGTCAGACCATGAAGTCAGCATTGCGCCCGCCCAAGTCCCAGGGCATAGGACGAGCATCCACCGCCACCCTTTCGTTGACGGCGTCATGGAGACGCCCTTGCCTTTTAGATGGAAGCCTCTCAACATCCACACTTTGTGGAATCGCACTACTACTAGCAAACTAAGAGAAATATTAAGCTGGATAACTCATACATACAGGTATAGGTAAGAATAAAAATAACTAAGTTTCTGTATACAAAATAGAACACCATTAAAGATGTCCAAAATAATTACTTCTTCTGTTAACTACTATAAATTGCATACTATAGAAAGATGTTCTAAGTAATTAAACCTTTGAATATGACGTAAGAAATGACATCAATTTAAAGTCATGAATCATTCAAAGCAATGAAGCTGAATTGACTACTATATGCATTACATATAAATTTATTACTTCTTTACCTTCATGCAAAGTTGGTATATATATAAACAATTTTGGGGTGACGTAAGCAGTGACCACAACTTAAATGACCAAATCAATGGCACCCTTCTGATCAACCCCCTCAACCGAGTAATCAAAACGAGGAAGAGGGGCACTCGATTTCCCAGCCACCAACTGCACCTAGGGCACCGACCCATAGGTCTACTATACATCGGTCACACGTGCCGACGAACAGGTCAGACCATGAAGTCAGCATTGCGCCCGCCCAAGTCCCAGGGCATAGGACGAGCATCCACCGCCACCCTTTCGTTGACGGCATCATGGAGACATGCCAGTGACAGCGTAGAACGAGGATGGATGACAGGTATTTGGAACTAGTTAAAGGAAGGAACTCTACTCGAAGATAAAGACGAAGCTCGGAAGATGAGGGTGAGGTCACATTGCGCCCGCCCAAGTCCCAGGGCATAGGACGAGCATCCACCGCCACCCTTTCGTTGACGGCGTCATGGAGACGCCCTTGCCTTTTAGATGGAAGCCTCTCAACATCCACCGTTACGATGGCACTCGCCTGGTATACTCAATTGTCGGCGGGGTCAATTGACAACTTCAACACTCTGGTGAGGCGATTCACGGCACAGTACGCAACGAGTCGGCTTCACCACATCACGTCAGCCGCCTTGGCCAGCCTCAAACAGGGCAACGACAAACCGTTGAGGGCGTTCATGGAGCGCTTTGCTAGCACCTCGGTCAAGATCTGCAACTTAAATCTCGAGGTCGCCCTTCACGCCATGCTCATGGAGCTTAAGCCAGGACCTTTCGTTGATAACCTGTGTCGACGACCTCCCCAAGACATGGATGAACTCTGTGCCTGAGCTACAGGCTACATTCAGATGGAAGAGATAGAAAGGAGTAGGAATGGTAGGAAATTAGAGGATAGGAACATAAGATAAATTTGGCTTTCTGAGTGAATTTGAAGTTGTTTTAGAGCTTAGGAAGTTGAAATATTTCAAGGAGTAGGATATTTAAGGTGAATAGGTGCTAAGGGTGAAATTTGGAAATTTTGGAAAATGGTTATATATAAGGACTTAGGACTAGAGGATTTCATTTGTCAAATAGAAACAGTTTCTAGAGAGAGGAAGTAGAGAGAGAAGATCTGGTCCAGAAGGAAGCTGAGAATACATTTGGGAAGTTTATCAAGCCGGGATCAATCTTCGCAACTGGAATTTCAAGAGATTTAGTCTATAAAGCCTTGAAAAGTGGGATCGAAGTTTGAGTTGGGATTTGAGGATCTAGTTCAAATCTTTCATTTCTGAGGTTTCTAAGGTAAGGGTAGTATACTTATAAGATTTAATCTAGTATGTATAGATTTGAAATATCACATTGATTCCATGTTTATTGCATGATTAAGGTTGGATTGAGCTGAAAGGGTTTGGTTGGGTTTCTTCATTATTTTCATGGATTAATTGTTAATACTTGATTTTATCACTTAATATGTTGTTTTTGGATGGTGTTTATACTCTATAATGGTTCGAAATCATGTAATTTGGTTTGGGATTCATGATGGGATGGATTTGAGGGTGGAAATCAGAGTTTTTGAACTTTCGACGCACTGTCTGATGCATGCACGCTGAGCGCACACGACGACGCACTGAGTGCACTGAAGAATAGAACTTTTTGTTCAAGATGCATGTTGAGCGCATGCGACAACGCGCTGAGCGCATTGAAGAACAGGGCTTTCTGTCTCGAGTGCGCTAAGCGCACAGGTCTATGTGCTGATCGGGCAGCTTCTAGTGGCTCTCTGTCTGAAGAGCGCTGAGCGCACTGGTCTATGCGTTGAGCGCCTATAGCCATGGGCTGAGCGGATTTGGTGACGAGTTGAGTGGGCAAAGCCTGATAGGCTCCCAGTTTTGGTTGCGTTGAGCGCAAATACCGCTACGCTGGCGCGTGGTCTCTTTGAGGAAAACCTTTTATAATTGAGTTTTTACGAAACTTTTAAATGTTGAATTATACCATCTTTTGATGTTATATATTTGGTATGGAATGTGGCATAATTATGGAAAAGATTGCATGTAATTATGGAATATGCTTATATGTGTTTGGTTTGGAAAGCTAATAGGACTTAGAGGAGTAAGGTTATGGTATGGATTAGGAGATCTCTTGGTGAGGTCTGGATATAATCTTTTGGAAAATATGGAATTACCCAGCGAAGGAGGCTCACCAATCTTGCCCAGCAGATCGTCCCTACGACTGATCTCCGGTAAGAACATTTGGCTCCCACCGTGGGGCCGATCAAGACATCTCTTATCGGCCACACTTATGGTTTTCACCCGAAGCCATAGTAGACGAGCAGCAGACGACCTAGATCGCACGAATTTCATTTAGTACATCATGTCATCATTTTTCATATTCTCATAATCATAACTTGTCTCAATAGTCCTTTCTTATGTTTCATGTCATTTGTGCATATTTCACATAGTCATGTCATAATTATTCCTCATAAGGTCCCCACAGGAATCCATAGAGAGCATTCTTATTCATATTAAAACTTATTTATTTTTAACATTAATTACATATTCATTTATTACTTCCAACAAGGAACAAAGTAGAGCAAACAGAAAATAAAACAGAACACATTAATACTTTGCATGTTCCTAGAAGCATGCAACAGGCAAGAGAATGGGAGCCAATCCGACAATCAAACTACCCAACAATTATTCCCACACCTCCAAGCGAGGTTTCTCACTCCCTCACATCGAGTCCACACCAGATGACATGCTCACATGATCCAACCTCGCCAGGGGGCGAGTAACATCGAAGCATTGTATGATGCACTACCCCTTTGGAGCCCCTAGCAGAGGCAGAGGCGGTACAGCTACTACAGGGGTCGATGTCGGTGCCCTAGAGCTCGGCCCCTCTCTGCGGGCCTCGGCAAGATTTGAAGAAGGAGCCGCCTGCTCAACGGTTGAGGCATTCAACCCTGGCGCCTCTGAGCTCGGCTCCACCCGCACCTTTACGGCAACTGGCACAGGCCTTGCCTACAAAAAGCACGAAAATTCTCCAAGTTATTAAACAAGAAAATCACACAATGTGGAAGAAAAACCATAAGAAGAAAAAATACAAACCTGCGCCTCACGGGCGACCTCCTCCACAGTAGCTCGGGATGATCCCTCAGGAGGAGGACTTCCAGTTAGGTCGACTACGTCGGCATGAACAGCCTTCAAAGTCACCTCTTCAGCATCTTGAGGGGCAGAGGTCCCCCCGACCTCCTTCTCTCCCCTCTTTCTTTTTCTTCGGGTTTCAAGAGGAGCAACCTCCTTTTCGCCAACCTCGGGAACCTCGATCTTGGCCACATTATAGCGGGCCTTCAGCTCGCGCCATTTGCTTGACCCCATTATACCTGCAAGCAAAAAATTCCAACATATAAGAAAAAGAAGAAAAAGTTTGAGAGCTCAACAACTAAGGGTGCTGAGGTACTCACTCTCTAAACCTCTCTCCTTGTACGCCGAATTAGCAAGCGCCAAGACGAACTTGCAATCCAAGGGACGAGGGGCACGGCTAAAATAGCAATGGCAGCAATATCCGAGGCCGTCAACTGAAGACTATTTGACCTATTGAACTTGATCGGATTCTGCTGCCAGTAAAGAGGGAACATCGGCAACCTGTCGAAGTGGAATACTTCATCCTTTAACGGGTCAACCCCTTTGGGCAAAACTCGGAAGAACTCCTGTTTGAAGCCCTTATACGACTTGGAGTAAAGCGAGAATAATCCCCCAGCCTTACTCCCTTTCAACGACACCCACCCCAGGGGAGGGTCACCTAACTTCAGTTGGTAAAAATGGAGAAACACGGGCAATGAC